TAGCAAACATATTTCGGTTTGAGCTTCTTGCTATATGGCCAAAGAATGACGATTTACGTTGAGCGATCTGCTTTAATAAATTTGTTTTTTCTTTTACTCTGTCAAATATCTTTGTTGGTAATTTTGTTTATCCAGCTAACTTTTAGTATTCTGCGATAACACCATGTTTCAAATGCATTTATCCTTCTTGCAGCTTCTTTACCTATTGTCCATGCTTCACAACCGTATGTTAACAGTGACATGATATATGTCTTCAGTAACCTTTTCTTAGTATTCATATTGATATTACTTTTCATTCATTCCTTCAATTCCCAGAATGATTTCTTTGCTGTTCCTATTCTCTTTTTGATTTCTTGTAAACATTTAGCATCTTCCGTAATTAGTGTGCCAAGATATTTATATTGCTTTACTTGCTCTAATGCCACCCCATTTGATTTTATTACGATTTTCGTCCCTGGCTGTTTTTCCACGACCATAACCTTGGTCTTTTTTGCATTCAACTCCATACCATAAGCTGTACAACTTTCATTTATCTTATCAATTAATCTCTGTAAATCTTCTGTGCTAGCTAGCAATACGGTGTCGTCAGCAAACCTTATGTTATTGACAATCATTCCATTCACTTCTAACCCAGATTCATCTTGTAGGGCTTCATTTATTAGTTCCTCGCTATACATATTAAAAAATACTGGTGACAGAACACAACCTTGTCTTACACCTTTCTCAATTTTAAAGCTGCGTGAGTCTTCTGATTTACCTCTGATTTGTGCAGTTTGAGACCAGTATAAATTTGATATTAACCTGGTTTCCTCTGGAGGCACCTCGTACTTTTTCAACACTTGAATTAATCTACTATGGTTAACCTTGTCAAATGCTTTTTTGTAATCGATGAAGCATGCATATATTTTCTTGTTTTTACTGACCATTCTCTCTGAAAGTAGCCTTATTTGACATATTGCATCTCTTGTTCCTCGACCCTCTGTGAATCCTAATTGGTTTTCACTCATTCTTTTCTCAGCAAGTGGTATTATTCTTCTCTTTAACATGTGTAGTAAGATCTTAGCTGTGTGTGATATCAAGCTTATTGTTCTATGTTCTGCACACTCTTTCGTGTTGGCTACTTTGGGAAGCTGTATAAAGATTGATTTGAGAAAATCTTCAGGTTGAAGGCCTGTATTATAACATTTATTGACTATCATTTCTATTCCTTTGTCACCCACATTCTGTAAAAATTCTGCTGGGATTTCATCTATTCCAGTAGATTTTCCCTTTGGTAGATTAGCGATGGTTTGCCTTATTTCCATCTCTGAGATGTTTACATGTTTACAATGAGTATGTCAGGTCTCTCGTCTGAATATAGTTCTTCGATATATTCTGCCCACCTCTCTAGGATCTCTTTTTCATCAAAAAGCAATTTTCCATCTTTGTTCTTCTCACCTTGTTCTGATCGTAACTTTTTAGGCTTCAGCTGTTTAACTTTTTCGTACATTTTTGGGTTATGTGATTTATCAAGTGATTCAATTTCATGACAAATTTTGTTATATTATTGACTCTTGGCCTTTCTGCACATTCTCTTTATAGTTTTTGATAAACTCCTGTACTTCTCATTTCTTTTCCACATTCTTCTCTCTTGAATTTTGTTTAATATTTCCACAGTGATCCAGTTTTGCTTCCCTGATTTTGTTCTTTTACCGCAAACTGCATCTGCTGTTTTAATGAGACACTCTTTAAGATGTTTCCAAATTTCTTCAAAACTTTCTCTGTGGTCAATTGTGTCAATCAGTCTCTCACTTTCTTGTTTATATATATATCTTTGATTACTTCTTGATCAAGATTTGAAACATTCCACTTTTTTCTTGTGGATTTGTTCTTTTTCACTCTTTTAAGTTTTGTTTTGATATTTATAACAACTGGATTATGATCTGACCCACAATCAGCGCCTGGCCTGGCCTTTGCATTTTTTATGCTATTCCTATATCGTTTGTTTATCATGATATTATCATTCCGTCTGGGGCTAACCAGGTATGTTTTGAATTTTCCCGCTGCTCGAACCATGTATTGCAAACTACCAATTTATGCTTTATGCAGAACTCTACTACTCGTTCCCCTCTTTCATTCCTTTTGCCTAAGCCATGCGGTCCCACTACTTCACCTTGTTTCCCTTTTCCGATCTTCGCATTGAAATCCCCCATCAGTAAGACTATATCATCCCATTTATTAATTTGGTTTATTGCGTTTTCTACGTCTTCGTAAAAGTTTTCAATCTCTTCATCTGAGTCTGCTGTAGTAAACTTGACAAAGGAGAAGGTTTTTAGGTTTTGCTGATACCCTGACTATTATTATTCTTTCAGATTTCAATTTATAATTTATCACACTATCCTTTGCAATGCCTCCCATGATAAAAGCAACGCCTTTCCTGTGGTTATTCCCTCCTGCAAAAATAACTCTAAATTCTTCTTCATGGGGTAAATTGTGTCTAAAATCCCCTGTGTCTTTCCAAAAAGTCTCTGATACTCCTAATACATCTATTTCCATTCTGATAAATTCTCTGGCAACGTTTGCAAGCTTGCCAGCTTGGTATAGACTTCTAACATTCCATGTAGATATTTATATCTATCTATCTATATATATATATATATATATATATATATATATATATATACATACATATACATATATATACACATACATACATACACACACGCACACATATATAAATATATATACATATATATATATATATATATATATATATATATATATATATACACATATACATATATATACACATACATACATACACACATACACACACATACAGTGCATGTGAATAAGTTTCCATCTAAAGTAAACACGGCATCTTTTGTCGGTAGATCACAGACCTGAGGCGATTATCACGTGTGAATTTGACTGACAGCCCAGATAAGTAAATGGAGTAGAGATGTGAAAGCCGAGACTAGGGGAGTTGTTGTACAGCATTTGTTGCATAACATTTTGTTGAATATCTCGATATCAAATGAAATCTTGATCATAAGATAGGTCTTGCTTATTAGAATTGAACATTGTCTATGTGGCTATACCATCGGAGCAAGCTTATAATCTGCCATAGCTGCATAATAAGCCATGGAAGTTTCGATGGTATATATACCATCGAAACAGTTTGATCATAAGATAGGTCTTGCTTATTAGAATTGAACATTGTCTATGTGGCTATACCATAGGAGCAAGCTTATAACTTGCCATAGCTGCATAATAAGCCATGGAAGTTTCAATGGTATATATACCATCGAAACAGTTTAGCGGCGAAAAAGTTTGATGGTATATATACACCATCGCGTCAGGTAAAGGGTTAATGATATGCGACAAAATGACACATTAATGAATGGTGACGTGAAAATTATTCGCAAGCCTCTTCGCGAGCAAATCTTCTCGGGGATTTCCGAGGAAGTAGGTATGTCTTTACTGGCATACAGACTTCATTTGACGGGGGGACGCGACCCAAAAATGCCGTATTTTATGAAGCTTAAACGAGCTGGGAAAATCTATAAATTACCCACCCTATCTGCGGATCTATGATGGGTGCTCATGAAATGCCCTACGAGAATTTATCATGATCACAAACCGATGGGTCTACCCAACATGACGACGACATGTAAAAGCGTGAGCGGGTTGTGATTAATTAAGTGGATCCTAAATCAGACTTAAATCCTAGTCCTAAATTAATGGACATAAGTGCGGTCACCCTGGCTCAAAGTTTGCCGAACGTATGATTTACTTCAGTTACCTTAACCTACTTACATACGTGAGTCATTACGCATAAATGCAACCTTACTATGAGGATACTTTTTGGCATTATATTCAATTCAAGTACCGTTCTAGCGCCGATAGAACGTGTCATCAATGAACGTATAACGGTTGCTATGCATTAACCCTATATTGTGACAACTAGTTCAAACAATTAAAGAGAATTTGCAAGCTGTTTTTTCTCCAGGCATTTCCTGTGATAATCACTCCTAGTGAAAATGAGGTCAGATCTCCCCAGCTGTTCGAAGCGGGGTTTGACTTAATGACCATCAGGTGAGGTCAGGTCACGACAGCTGTCCCAAGTGGGCTCTGACTAATGACTTTCAGGTGAGGTCAGGTCAAGACAGAAAATGGTGAGAGAAGAATTTAATGAGTGAATATTCGTGAAAAGAATAAAATCACGAATGCGCTAAATTCGGTACAATTGAAACAATATAATTTAATCACGAAAAAAAAATTAAATAGACACTTAATAAATGAACAATTTCATAATGTTTAACTCCACACCGCGACTGAGAGTACTCGGCTTAACACATTTAGAGAAAAATAGAAAGGAAATGAAAAGAGAAGGGGCTCAAAATGTGTACTCACAGTTTTTTGAAGAATGTCATCTTGTGTTTGCTTGAAAGGCAAGCGGTTTTTCTTCGGAGAAGCTTGGTTCGGTTGCGCTCCAAAAGGGCGCAACAGCCACCTCTGCCACCAGATGTAAGGCGGTGGATAGCCATGCGGCGCGCAACAACCACCTCTGCCACCAGATTTAAGACGGTGGATAGCCATCCGGCGCACAACAACCACCTCTGCCACCAGATGTAAGACAGTGGATAGCTGTCCGGCGCGCAACCACCACCTCTGCCACCAGATGTACGAGTTATTGGAGAACCTCTAAACATTGGCGACAGGATAGTAAAAGCTTGAGTGGTTAAACCCTTTATTAAAATAAGAGTTCAGCACAAGGTTATGATAACACAATGACGACAAGACTTGGGTTAAGGCGAGGGCGCCTAGGTCACTGGCGAGCACCGCCCAGCGGCAACCTGGCTGCGCGGTCAGATGTGACCTCGTGCGTGGCTTAGTACACTCTATCTACAGGGGTCACATGCAGGCCTTAAATATCCGAGCGTTGGCTTGGGGAGGAGGGTAGGTAGCGTACCCTGCGAGCTGGCGTGGCTTGGCGTGGGGACACTTCGTGGTGGCGTGGGGACGCTTCGTGGTGGCGTGGGGACGCTTTGCTGGGCAGCATGGCGCCCACCACATGGCTGACGAACTGCCACGTGTCCTATACCCAGTATATTAGTATATTGTATACACCCTCTTTTGTAAGAATACTTTTGCACGTCGGTTGTATAACATATTTATTATAAATGTATTTGTAAGATATACCGATATGTGTATCACTTTGTGCTCAATACCTGTATACTTCATATTTGATTTGGATTCCCAAATGAGATATAATACATTTTGGAATAAGTAATGTTGGATCCATTACATTTTGTTCACAGCTTACCTATGAAGCCTATAAGCACTGCTGCTCGCGTGGACAGTCGCACTGCCCCACCTTTTCATATGTGTAGTATCATTGTCAAATTATGTTCAAATTGGATGATATACTCCTATGGAATTATATATTGCTCCCCTTGCTTCTTCCCTTGTAGTATTTACATATTTCCCTTTGTATGGTGTTTATAAACATATTCTCTAGAATTTCTTCTGCTATTAACTTCCAAATGATGCATTGTTGGTGTTTTTTTGTTAATTGATTAATTGTTGCAATTCTCGGTGAGTTTCTTTCTCTCTGAATAGTTCCTTCAGGCCGTTCGCCGCCCACCCTCAAACAAGGGGGATTTCACAGACAAAGTATAGCAAAGCAAGCCGAATCTGCGAGGAATCTCACCTCAGACCCTTGATCAATCACAATGGGTCCTGGTTCATTGCATCTGTCACTGTACAAGCAGTGTTCCATCATTTAAAATCAACACTTAGACTAAGACGGTGCTGTATTAAAAATATACCAGTTTAATCCGTCCTATCGATATGGCATTGTTCAGCCAGGGGTATTTTATGTCAATTATTGGTAATTAACTGGTAAGCAGTAATTTCCAAGCAAAGTGCCGTCCCCTTATTATTTCAGTAAGTAAAGCAATCATACAACATCTTGCAAATTTTTTTTAGCTACTTTTTGTGGATTGTGACAATGAAGTGAGTTGTGAGTGTCATGTTGTGATGCGATTACATACGAGATGTGATGCCAGTATTATCTTATGTATATTGTGATAATTATGTGACTGTATTATCCACACTGCCTTTTGTGTAATTTGTTACGCCATGTGAAATATAGAATATTATGTTTAGTGTATATTGCTGTGTAGCGTATCACCTATGTGAAAGAGTGAGATTCTCTATACGATTTATAGAGTACAATATTTTATTTTGTTTCTGTAGTCACACGTCTGGTAGCGACACTGAAGAGTTCCATTTTGTTTTTGTCAGAGCTGATTTCCAATGAACCTACTTTAGCTTTTATCAGTATTTATAATACCCTCAAGCATCGTAGAGAAACACCAAACTACATAAGACGACACTTTTTAACACAAGTAAAATATCCCAACATCGGTATCCCGTACTCAAAGGACAATAACAATCATTGGAAAGCTTGATGGGGGTAGCATCTCCTCCCCTACTCAAAATGACACTCCTTTACTATTACTTTACCTTTACGTATCATACAGCTGCAGACAAATACCATAGAGTGTGTTAGATGGTTCGGGCAATTTTTATATTTTATAATTTATTTGCTCATTTAATTATTTTTTTCCAGCTTTGTTCACCAGAATAGTACTACAAACCTATTTACAAGTACAATTATGTTATACAATAAATGTTGTTAATTTGAATTATGTCCGTGTTAACCTTACACCGAGATACATTATTAATGTATGTGAAAATATGCAGATGCACTTGCTTCCATAAACAGATTTTCAGGTTAAATAGACCATTGAAAATCAGATTATTGACAGCCAGATTCAGAATACCGGTGGGTCTGGAAAGCAGCCCAGTACAAAATGTTCTTCATGGATGTGACCATTATTTGATAATATTATTGCACAATAACGGCTTGTTTTATGGACGCAAAGCAAACGTGAAATTGAAAATGCACACTGTACTTTATGTTTCAAGACCATTTGCACATACAGAATACCCATTGCAATATATTTGATGGAGTGGAATTGTTACAAATCATCTCAGTACGGTATCTCTTTCAAAAACCCGAATAGCTTGTACGGTTACATCTGCAGTCTCATTACGGCCTCTTGTTTGAGTTGGTCTCGAACGTAGAAGCCAATCAGGTCGGTGTCAGTGATTGGGTGGGTGTGCGTCAGGCTCCATGGGTGAACGTGGGCATAATCAAGTGGACGAGGGTCCGTGTGCCTGTTCTTATCAATGGATCCAATGATGATCATTACAGGACCGTCATAGGAGTCAACGTATTTCCTAGGGTCAGAAATGTAGAAAAATATAATCACCTACATTGATTAATAAAAATCCAATATAGGTCAAATAATCTCAAGTATTAGATAACTCGAGATTTTTTCACAAAATCGCATGCATTGGATTAACATTACCTAATTAGATTTTTAGGGGTAACAATACCCCTAAATGCAAAAACTAGATTTATTGAAAATGAGACTATAGTTTCGA